GAGGGGTCCCCAGAGGGAGATCTCTGAGGCCATGGGGCTGTCCCCACAGCCCTAAGCATGCTCCAGAGGCTGGGGCTGCACTGATCCCACTGCCCTGATGCCCCCTTCCCTAGCCCTGGTCCTGAGGGTCCCTGTCTCACTTGCTGGACCTGGGGAGGAAGCCAGGAGTCCTGGCAGCAGGGCAGGGGCAGGAGCAGAAGTAAGTGCAAGGGCAGGGGCAAGGGCACAGGCTTCCTCCCATCCCGGCAGCTGTTGCCCCCCTCCAGGCTCCATCGTCCCAGTGGCTGGCAGCTGAGCCCTATGGCAGGGCTGGCTCCCAGCACTGCCCCTGTGCCTGATGCCCCTGCAAGACTAAGGCACCAGGGCTTCTGGGATCCGTGCCAGGCAGAGGACCTGGGGGGTGAAAGCTGGGAGGTCTGGAGGCCGGATGCCTGTCTGGGGCAGGGGAGAGGTGCCTGTAGGGGCAGATAGGTGCAGGGCCGGACTGGACACCTGGGAAATCACTCCTCTCTGGGAGGGGGCTGGGGGCTGGCGGGGCAGCAGCACAGAGCAGGCCCTCAGGACTCCTGGGTTCTGGGGCAGGAGCAGGAGGGCCTGGTGGCTTGGGGCTGCGGCTGGCTCTGGGGAGGTGCCCGTGGGTTATTCCTCAGCCTGGTGCTGCCCCCTTGTGACCAGTCCGAGCCACAGAGTGATAGAAATCCGAGAACAACCAAAAACCCTGCAGAAATCCTAGAACAATTTGTCCAACTATTTAGTTGGTCTAATAAAAATATCACATCTAGCCAAAGAACCTTTTCTGCCTATGTCCTTATACCAACACGCTTACAACCAACAACCCTAGAGAAATCCCTGCCGGGCAGGACCAGCCCTGCCCAAACCACCCCAGACAAACCCGTCCTCCAACCTCTTAGTCAAAAGCCCGTCTCCCCTGACATAGTGTCAGACATCACAGCCCAACGTGGCCCAGGGAAAGCTGGGGGCCACAGCGGCCAGTGGCCTGCTGCGGTGAAAGGTTTCATAGTTGGTAGGGGCTGGAAGGGACCTTACAGATCATCGGGTCCAGCCCCCCTGAACTTGGGCAGGAAAGACCGCTGGGATCAGATGACCCCAGCAAGGTGGGCGGCAAGACGTTTTCTGAAGATCGCCAGGGTGGGTGACTGCCGCAGCTCTGGGGGGAGCCTGCTCCAAACCCTCGGCACTCGACTTATAAAGAAGCTTTTCCGTATGCCTAGCCTGAAGCAATCCTCAATCAGCTTGTGTCCATTATTTCTTGTCCTCCCCTGGGTGAGCAGTGTGAAGAGCGGCCTCATTTAGTGGAAAGGATGGAGAGTCATGCAAATGAAACATTTGGGCTTAAATGCTCGCACAGGGTTTCAGCAGTGGGGATTACATGGCGCTGCTTATGAAGACCCTGAAAAAGAAATCAAGGAAGCAAAGAAGTTCTGGAGGCCAGGACTTGAGCATCTCTGTCCATGTGGCTTTAACCCTGGTGATGCGTAACTCCACCTTCAGGGGCCGCAGGAAGAGCCTAGGTGACGCAAACAAAGGACATTTTCTCTCGGCGGTTGAACTCTTGGCTAAATGTGATGACCTGGTGCGGAAACAGGTCATTCATCTCCCAACTGTCTGGAGAAGTCTGGTTCAATGCTGGGATCAGCCCTGATCTGCCAGGTTCTTGAGCGGCTGCATGTGGCCCTGAGTCAGGGGCAAGGCCAGAAGCCAAAAGGGAGAGCCCATGTGCTTGGGGCATGCTCCTATCATGTCCTCCCAGCCCGGAGAAAAGGACCTCTGATCCTGACAGGGACGGCCTGGAGAAAGGGCAGAGAAGAAAAAAGGAAGGAGGAATGGAGACAGGGATGGGGTGGAAGATAGAAGAGGGGAGGAAGGAGGAGATAGAGAAGAGTTCACGGGAGAGGGGACAAGCACAATGACTGGGGGAGACAGGAGAGAGGAGAGAAAGGGAATTGGGAAGGGAGGGAAAAGGAGGATGGTGCAGGAGAGGAGGAGACTGCAGAAGAGATGGGCTGGGAGAGCAGGGCCAAGGGATGGTGGGAAGCAGGGGTGGATCCAAACCAGAGAGGCATGCTCCTGCCTCCCCATTGACTCTGCCCCCAGTGGGAGACCCTACCATACCTCCTATGGGTCATGGGGCTCACGCGGGGACAAATAGGCCATGCACTGCAAGGCGGGGACCAGGGGGAGGAGCAGCATGCCATAAAGAGGGGAATCCTATTTACATCCTTACACCCAGACTGGCTGCCTGGAGCTGGCCACTGATAGGCAGGGACATCCTGTGCCTTGTTTTCTGTACTGACTGGTCTGCTGCTGAGGCTGTGGCTGATTGGCCAGTGCAAGTGATCCCCCAGTGATAAAACCTGGTCTCTCCCCCATTGCCTTTGTCCCTGCAGCCCAGGCAAGAGTTGTATGGGGACGGAGCAGAAGCAAAGGCCTGGGAAGTGGCAGAACCAGCCAGGATGACTCTGGGGACTTTTAGTTTATCCAGAAAAGTCCCAGAGAAGCCAAAGCAAGTTCCTTCACTCTACACCAGTCTATTGGGGTGTTATCCATCAAGGACCATGACCCAGAGCAGCTGCATCCAGCAGAGAATTGATAGCTTCACTGCCAGGTGGCGAGGTCTCAGAGCCCTCAGAACCCATTCTTATGGCACCAAAAGCGATGCTGTGCACCGGTAGGATGACAAGAGGGGAAGGAGATTGCACCCAATTGCAGTGATGCACCAGATAATAAAAGCACTGTTTGACTTCAAGCCTTCCCCCTGCAGAATAAAGTTGCTTAGGAAGCACCTATGTAAAGGCAGTCCTGGCCACACAAGGACACTGACTCAGTCTGAGATCTGAGAGTCAGGCCCAGGAAGGACACATTGCATTGTTCTGAACCCATGTAATCATAGGAAGTCGAAAGCTCAATGCAGTCTTAATTAGAAGAGCTGAACAGCTCTCTATCCTATTTTCCCCGAATCCAATAGCCCCCAGATAAAACATGCACCTTGTTTTTGGAAGGCCGAATGCAGGGGAAAAAACGCTTTTCCAAAGTCACGACCAACTGTGTGACACAGTATGCTTCCCCCCACAACCATCGAGTGCCCAGGAAGTGCGGCACCAAGAAATTCTAGCTGCCAGCTGTCTCATCCAGATTGTCACCTCTATTCTTCCTGGGCACTCTGTTTCCAGGAGAACTGACTCTATGTCGACAGTGGTTAGGCCCCAGGCCCCTGCAAGGGCACTGCCAGGACTGTTAGTTCTTAAATAAGTTCCTGTAAATAAAGCACAGTTTCCACATCGCAAGGTTCATCGAGATACTCTTAGGGGGTGCACATGCACCCCCGTGCACCCCCTACGCATCGCCACTGGGCACAAGCTAAAGTGCTCAGCCACAGCTATGGCTGTGAGGCTTTTAAGACAGGACCCCTCTATGTTGGCAGCTGCGCAGTAGCACCAGCCTTGCTTCTTTTCCAGGGAAGGAATAAGCTTCCCTGCTTAAAACTGCTTAAAACACGGCCCCTAATTTGGCGGGGTGCTGATTTTAGGGAAAAGGGTGTGTATCTGGGAAAACACAGTATACAGCCAGTTTGCACACAAGCCTGGGGGCCTGCAATAGCACAGAGCTCTGTGCTGGCCAAATTTGCCCTGCTGAGCAAGTCAGCCAACACGCTCTTTCATTTTAATTCACCCCAGTGTCTTCATAAGGTATTTTCTAGTCAGAGTCCAAACCTGACAATACATATATTTCAGTCATGAAAAGGCATCTACCAGCAACTTGCTACACAACTTCTCAGAGGCTTTTCAATAAGTAGAGGTTGGGACCAGCCTGGGGGGCAGAGCCCAGGGTCATCCAGCCAAAGATTGACCAGGCAGGCTCAGAGAGAGGACCTGACCTGATGGAGACCATGCCAGGGCATTCCCAAGGACCAGGACTGACCTAATCGTGGCATGGCTCTGAACCTGGCTAAGAGAAGGGCATGCAGTTGAAGGGGCCTGAGAAGGAGGATCTGTGACTGAGGGCCAATCTACCAGTGCTGAAGACCTCAACTGGTCTAGGTTAAGGGCAGGGCCCAGGAGGGGCTGAAGGGCACAAACCCACAGTGAGGTGTGGCCAGAGCTTTGGAGGGTCTGGCGCTGTGACTGGCTTGTGAGCAGGGCCAGGGCCTCGGGGAGGCTGAAGGTCCGTGAATTGGGGCCACTGCTGAGATATAGAAACCAGGGTCACTACAGTTCACATGGTGATGGCAAATGAACCCATCTAAGAAGAGGTTTCTAGAATGAGGGGTCTGGGCATAGAAGAGGGCCAGCGGTACAGAGAGCCGTGAGAGGGAGTGGGGCCTGAGGCCTGATGGGTAAGTGTCCCAGAGTGCAGCCCAGTGAGGAACTGGGATGCAGCCCGATGAGGGGCCAAAGGGTCAAGGCGCACTGAGTGGGGCCTGAGGCCTGAGTGAGCAAGAGACTGAGTGCAGCCCAATGAGGGGCTGGAGGAGTAGTGGATTTGGATGCTATCTGCAAGGCATGGGGCACGGTGTAGGGATGGTTTGGAGCCGTGTGATTGGCCCAGTACACCAGGGCTGCAAATGGGGCAGCCTCCCGCATTGCATTTATTTCACATCAAAGGCATGGCAGGAAAGAGGGGGGAAGACTGCCCTAGAACAGGATTGGGCATCGATCTCTTTGGGTGCTGGGTACACCCCCTCTCACATATATATATATTTTTAAATAGTAACTTCAAATGCGTTCACATTTTCTTTGCTAGACATCCGAGTTCAGGAAAGACTCCTTGCATAAGTTAAATACATATTTTTATTAAAAAGAAATAAATATACACCTCATATTCAATATATTCTACAAATAAATATTAAACTTTAGCCATAAGGGCTTCATTAGGGATTTGTTACAAATCAAGAGACAAACGCCTTCTTCCTAGGATCATTACAAAACCAGTTTCAGGAATCAGGCGGATCTTCTATACTCCAGAGAAAACTATTCCTCAAATCATAGCAACTGTTGGTGGAGTATTTCCCACACCATCTTCCTACGGAAGTAAGACATCTGGTGCTAAGAAAAGTTAAAAATAATTTCTCTTAGACATGCAGTCATAGTAAAGGGAATAAAAAAAAACACATTTAAACCTGTAGGCAATCCCATCATGATAATTTATGCCAACCCTGCAGACCCAGAAACTGGCACAAGAAGCAAGGGGGAGTTCCCACTTTTCTATTGAAAATCATAGGGGTTAGGGCCACAAGCCAAGGGGCCAAAAGGGAGGGAATAGGTTAAAGGTAAAGACACATCAGCATTGTGGTAACTTATAGTCAGCACCTTAATTTCACCCTGACATCTCCGTATGTGTCCCCAAACTATGCTTTAGTCCCTAGAGCACTCAGACAGTCATGAACGCCTTGTGCCTCCTGAGGCTGGGGGGGCACAGCGACCGCCAGCAGGCAGCGATGGTGGTGGCAGTGGCTGGGGTGTGGCGGCAAGTGGGGACTGCCCACAGGCAGCCGCGGTGATGTTGGTGGCGACCGTGGGCCAAGCGGGGACCACCTGCAGGCAGCCGTGGCGGTGTTGGTGGCAAGGAGGGGGGGATGGCAAGTACTGAGTGGCGGTGGCGACCACCTGCAGACGCCACTGGCAGCATCAGTGGTGGGGGGAGGTGGTGAGTGGCAACTGCTGCAGAAGCCGCCAGCAACAGCAGCCAATTTCAGGGGGTGCAGGGGCACCCGCGTGTGCCCCCTGCGCATCACCAATGCAGACAGCAGACTGCAGTTGCCCCCAAGCCAGTTGACCGAGCCAGTGAGATCTCCGTATCCACTGTGCACTCCTCTGTGTAGGACGGACCAGGTTCCACCTATGGGCTGCTCTCTCTCGTCCCCCAAACCTCCTCTTTCTTTCTCCCTTGCCTCCACAGCCCCTCAGGGTTTCTGGGAGTTGTCGTCCAAATTAATAGCCAGCACAGATCTGTAGATTTCCCCCTGGCGCCTCCTGATATTAAACGCATTATATTCACATTACACATTTTTACAAAGAACCAGCATTCGCCACTTTCCTTGAAGGTATATGTGATAATATTGGTTTTCTTCTCCACTAAACACAGAAAATTCAAAGCCCAAGGAAATGCCAACATTAAACATGGTAGCACCTGGGTCAGTGGCTGACAACTAACAAACCTGAAACACCTGAAAGCTAGCTAGCATTCACCCAGGAATCTGGACTGGATCGTTATACACACCCTTATGAAAGTGGGGCACACGCTTCCGGTCCTTCAACTCAGTCCCCCATCTCAGAAGAGCTGGACAGGTTGTCCTTGGCAAACGGGCATTTGGAAGAGGCCAGGTGACTACATAAACAGCCCCGCAAAGGCTCACTTATCAGTACTACTTCAGCAAGGCCTGGTCTACACAAGGTGGGCTTGGCGGCAGACCCCTGGGAGAGTCACCAGAAGGAAATGGAGCTGCATGTGGCTGGAAAGCACAGCAGCAGGCCCAGGACCAGAGACCACCCATTCCCCATCCCACCCCAAATACTGTTGCCCCAAGGACTTTATAAACCACCAACTGGGCAAGATGCAAGAGATGAAGTCACTTGCCCAAAATGTTATGAGCTTCACTCACCTGAGTAAAAGTGATTGGCTTGTCCCTGGAGATATAGTCCGCATATTTACAGGTAAACACCCCACAGTCGCTGCCATTCAGCTGCTGTGGAATCTCCTGAGATGAAGGGACGGGAGGTTACACACAAGTTCCTCCATCCCACTTCAAACCTGCTTTCTGCCAGGAAGAGGTGCAGGATTGCAGAGCCGCACTCTGTTCCCAGCATATTCATGGGCCTATCCCAGCACACCAAGTTTAAAACTGGCTCCCAAAACACCCATGTAATTAGACCAATTCTTCATGCTCCTGTGGCTCATATATCACATTCAAGGGGAAGTCAATTCCTGCTTTGAATGCTGCCCAGCGCAACAGGGTCCTGGTCCCACCTGGGACCTTTCATCTCCAACAGAGACAACTTAGAGTGGAGGCATCAGTTTAATTCTGCCCCTCCCCTCATCGCTTGCTGCAGTTCAAGCTACTGAAGGACCAGCTTCGGCACTGGGTTTCAATGGGACATGCATATGTTGCTCTACAGCTTCAGAATTTCCTCACCACAAGTTCTCAGCAGCGGCTTTGTGTGACAAAGGGTCAGATCTGCCCCCCTCTGCTTGTCTTCCTGCTGCACAGAGGGAAGAAGTTACAGCTCTGGGGCTGCACACAGATACCACCCCTGTCACACCAGCACAATGCTTGTGCCTGCCCAAAATGGGAGTGAACGGATGTCTGTGCCCCTTGAAACGCCCGCAGGGCCCGAAAATGTGAGGAGAACGATTCCTATAAATAGTTTGTGTCATTTTACTGCCAGGAATATCTGTTGGGTCATGGTATGATCCCCACAGCCCAGAGCTTCCTGTGCTCTACAGTGGCCCCTTTGGGATGCTGGGGCACGTGTTTCCTACTGCAGAGCAAAGAAACCCCTTGGAGCTCCCTGCTCTGAGCCCACAGACATAAGCCCCGAGTCTAGATCAGGAATCCAGAGGCATTGTCTTGCAGGATTGTGTCCCTGGAGCCCCAGAGGCAGCAGGGGCCTGATCCTGCATGACATATCCAAGCACAGCTAATTTCACTGCTAATCCCACGACAAAAACAAGACCTGTTAGGAGCCTGGAAGAAGGGGATGGACTGTTGAATGGGATCTGCTGGGGAGTTTACTGTGCCCACGAATCTGCAACACAATCCTGCGACGTTCCACAGATGTAGCATTACAATCTGCTTTGCGTGCACAACAGGTCTGACAAGGAGAACCTGGCCTTTCTGCTTAGTTCAAGCTTGAGTGGGACTCGCAGCTAACTTTTCTTGACCATCACTCAATGCCACTTGGTAGGAACCTGTTTCAAGCCACATAGTTTGAGAGGCACAGTTCTAATTCATCAAGCCCAGAGTGCCGTTGCCTACTTCCCCCTTCCCTCCTGCAAATACCATTTCATACGAAGAAAAGCACCTTTCCAACAAGCCATGACTAAAAGCTGCCTACAGCACACAGCTGTCTTGGGGGAGAAAAAGCCTGCCTAAAACCCTTCAAACTATTACACTTCAAAGACAAACAATGCTGACGTACATGTGATTTCATGCAGTAGAGGGTCCACTCTGAAGGAGAGATCTCTATGTTCCTCTTGGTCTTGCTTTCTTCCAGCAGGTATTGGCTATGCAAAAGTAATAAAGTGTCAGGCATCTTCATACTGTAGTCAACAGTCTGTAAAGTTATTGGATTAACTATCTCTACACCAATGACTAAAAGCTGCCAAGAAGAAAGGCTACAGAATGTGATATCATGTCAAAGGCAAAACTTCCTGTTCCTAAAACTACGCACATCACAGCTGAGATTTTAGATCACAAGTTAGTGTGACCTCAACACCATCTACAAGGCTTCTGTATTGAACTAGGTCTCTGATCGAAACCACCCAGCAGGGTTTCCAACAGCTCGGACATGTAGGGACAGTCCAGAGAAAAAGGTAAAATCACCTGTCCATAAAGTCCATCAAAACGAAGCAACCGTGAGCTTGAATGGAGTTTCAATGATAGAAGGAAGCTGTCTGTAAAATGTTGATGGACAGACAAAGCAAGGCAGCTCCTTGCGGTCTGAGCGGGAGCATAGCATACTTCTTGACCTATTAGAGCCTCCCTAGCTCTCTACACCCTCCCTCCCCCCCCAGCCATGTGCTGCCACTGCTGCATACTGTCACCTACCTATACCACTGCCTGACAGACAGTCAGGGTCACACAGCTCCAGGTTGCATAGGGAGGGGATGGTGCAGATAGGGCAGAGCTGTGGGGCTGATATGGGGAAAGGTATTGCATAAGGGCCCATGCCAGGATGAGGGGAGCAGGGCTGGCAGGGGTAAAGCTGGGGGGCAGGTTTGGAGGAGGAAGCAGCATGGGGGTGTGGGGGGGGAATCAGATGGTCCGAGGAGTAGGGGGTCCCTTGGGTGGGAGAAGCATGGTTTAAAACTATTGGTGCTATCAAGTGTGGTTGCCAACACAAAGTTTCTTTTTTTTTTTTTTTTTACTACCAATCTGCAAATAATTTACTAACCAACAAACTATTTTTATCACCACACTTAGTGTTAAACACCTAAATTTGAACCTGGCCTATTTTGCTGTTGGCGAAAGGGTTGGATTTACACAATGTAAAATATGTCAGTAAAAATATAGGTCAATACAAATGTTGGTTGTGAGTGAAAAAAAAATTCCTGGGTTGGTAACTGCGCCAGCTAGAAAGATTAGAACAGGGCGTCTTCATTATGAAGCCTTTCCTCAGAAGTCACTTGGCAGCTTGGGAAGTAGGAGTAGAGTAGGCATTTTTTTAATACGCTATAAAGGGTGATGATCCCAGGTGCAGAGGGAGAATGAGTGGCAGGCAAAGCACTTCACATACACAAATTGCTGTAGCAGGTCCATGGCCACGGGGTGGCCGGGCGGCCCATGCTCACTTCAGGCTCAGCTGCAGCCCTTCCCTTGAATCTCTCCTGCCACGCCTTGCTCTTAATGGAGGTTATAAAAGGGAGGCTGCCTGTGGGCCCTGTGTGAGCCTGAGCCCAAGTTGATCCCCACTGGGCCTCTCCTGGGATACCAATTCCAACCTTTTCCAGTGGCAGCAAGACACTGCTTGGGTAGAGTCTGCTAGTACTACTGAGCACACCTCTTCACCATACTCTGTCCTTATTTCCATACAGCTCGTGGTACATTATCACTTTGAGCTTTATACTGTAGTCCTACCCAGTCTGGAGACAGCACACATCAGTCTGTGGCCAACTCCAAAACCACAGCACAGATTGAACATGCTGTGAAACCGGTTGTTCACATGAAGTGAATGTTCTCTGACATCTCTTCTCTTGCTTCTTTTACACCATTAAGGCTAAGTGGCAGACCATGACTTCCAACCCCTGTGACACCAAGAAAACACTGGGACCAGCAGAATGACTGGCACGCCAGCTGAACCACAGCCCCAGGGGTTTCATCGTGGCCAAGAGCTCACATGCTAATCTTAGCACTGAAGTGGACACTGAGGTCCCCCTTTCAGTCCTTCTGCAGAATATTGATTTACAGGGCACTCAGTTGTGCCACAAGGCATCTGTACGGTCCCAGAATTTCACTTGCACTCTTAGCATGTGGCTACATTGGCAAGAAAGCAGAGTATAAGTTTCTAGAGGCTAAGGAGGGAGAAGGATGCTAACATCAACTGTTTATCATTTGTTGAGAGTAAACCGATTGGGCATAGAGATTCCTGTCATCCAAAGGCAAGTCTTGTGCTACTAAAAAATCCCCATTCCAGCTAGGAATTCTGGGAAGTCCTTTTCCAAGGAGAAGAGTGTACGAAATCCATTCAGGAAGCGCTTACTCACCACAAAGATTTACATATCCGGTGGCCATCTTGACCCAGGGAGTCAAAATATTTAATGGTCTTTCTTCTGACATCTATCACCTGTTATGGAAAGACAGGAGTTAGCCATATCAGACTGAACATGAAAGCCTTTTTGTTTTAGCTTCTTTTCTCATCCAGTCTAAAGAAAGGGCCAAATTCACTCACCGCTAATCCCCAGTGCACCTGGAGGTGAATTGGCACCAAAATTAGGTCCTTACTGAAGATATCCACATTTTTTGTCCACCTTCTTACTCCTTGATAACCTCCAGAAGTTAGTTGGGGGTAGAAAAAAGTACTGAAAGCATGAAGTGCTGGAAACCCCTTCTTCTTATTTCTCTCCACCAGAAGATTCATGTAGAAATTGATCACCTGCACATGAGGGAATATTTCATAGAAGCAAAGAAAACGAGGGTTGAAGGGACCTCAGGAGGTCACAGCGAGTCCAACCCCGTGCTCAAAGTGGACCATCCCCAACTACATCATCCCAGCCAGGGCTTTGTCTGGCTGGGTCTTAAAAACCGCCGAGGATGGAGAGTGCACCACCTCTCTGGGGAACCTGTTCCAATGCTTTACTACCTAATTTGAAGGGAGCGGGGGGGAAAGAAAAAGGAAGTCATGTTGGGTTGCCTCTCTGCTCAGATTCACACTTTTCTTCTGGATCAAGGCAAGAGTCCAAGTATAGCCTTGTAAAGAAGTTTGCGGCAAACTATTTGTGTCATGCACAAGAAGGCTAATACCCATTTAATGTGTTTTACCTCATCGTTGAGCCAGTGACGGTTCCTTAGCGTCTGCATGTCCTGACGAGTGATCTTTAAATTAAAGGCACTGCTCAGGATCTCATCCTGATGGCCATGGCCAAGTGCCTTCATTATCTTTCTCTCCATGTCCTGAAAAAAACAATTCTGTGAAGTAGCGAGGCCAAACAGAGCAGGTCAGTTTGTGCACCACATTAAACTGGGAAACACATGCGTAAGGTGTGCCTGATCACAGGGCAATTCTGGAGACGGGGGTCACTAGCTGGTGCTGTTTTTAAGAGTAGATGGGCATTAGCTGTGGCAGCATTTTCTGCTAATACGTGTATTCATCTGGTCCTTAGCTGCAAAACAATATTCTGTATTTCACGGTTACTAAGTGGAATGGCTAAATTTGGACTGATTTAAACATTGCTGCGGTCACTTGGAATAGCCAGCACGCTCCCAGATCAGAGGTTCACTCGTGAAGACTGAGGATTATAAGAGGGCAAGAGGTTTCACGGAAGACAACTGCATAAAGACTAAACCCAGCCCTCGATGCATTTGGGACTATCCTGTTTCCAGTCACACACACAAAAACCCTGAATGAGCAGGAAACAGTATGCAGCACGTGGAGGAATCAGCCCCTCTGCCTGTCTGTGCCCCCCTGGTCACACACTTGGGATGCGCCTGGTCTCCATGGTAACAGGGCTGGGGACATCCCTGCCCGAGGGGGAACCTGCTCCTCTCCGTCTCAAGTTCCCCCCCAATGCTGCAGGTCATGTGACTAGTTCACTCACCTGTCTGTCAACCTGGTTGCCCCAGGTTACCCTAACCTCTATTCTTTGGGCACTGAGCTCATGGCATGGGGGCAGGGGCTCCAAAGGTGTCACTCTCTGAGATGACCTGTGATGCTTTTTAAATTGTTTGGTGAACACCCAACACACCTGGCCTCCACTGGACCCCCAAAGGTGCTATCGATAGGGCTCCACCAGCTAAGACTGCCCGGGGGTGGGAGGGGAGCAGCCACCATGAAGACACAGAGAGCAGCTGAACGCTAGGGCTGTGCGAGGCTTCGGACAGAGCTTCGGATCCGGAGAAGATTCGGACGTTTCGGGGTCCGAAGCAGCACGTCCGGGTCGAGGCGCTTCGGAGCCGCCTCGGAGATCCGGCCATAGGGTATAATGGGGAAACAATAAAATAGCTATAACGTTGTTGTTTTTTGTCCGATTTGGATTAAATTTTCAGGGGTGGTAGATTATGCAGAGAGGATGAAGCCTGCCAAGTTTCAAGAAGATCAGTGCAGGGGTTTGGGGGGAACTGCACCCCAAATTCCTGAAAGCAAAACTCACGTCACGTCTAGGCGTTACAACATAGCAAGGTTAAAATGGCAGGAGTGGTGGCTCTTACTGAGGCCACAAAGCCTGCCAAGTTTCAAGAAGATCGGTGCAGGGGTTTTGGGGCAACTGTACCCCAACTTGTTGAAAGCAAAACTCATGTCACGTCTAGGCGTTACAACATAGCCAGGTGAACACTGCAGGAGTGGTAGCTCGTACTGAGGCCACAAAGCCTGCCAAGTTTCAAGATGATCGGTGCAGGGGTTTGGGGGGAAGTGCCCCTTAAGCTGCGGACAAGCAAAACTGGTGCCATGGGTGCTGTGGGACTGACTGTCTGCCCTGGGGCGGGAGGGGAGACACTGCTGCAGGCCTGGCTGCTCAGCTGCTGTGTTCCCAGTTACCAATCAATCAATTGTGATTCACTTAGGGACCAGCTCAATGCACAGGACCTAGCTACTACATAACGACTTAACGAGCAGCAATTAGCACCTACAACACCAGGCTAAGGAGAGGAAAGACTCAATACAGACAATCAACTGCCCCCAGACAGACACAGTCTTGGCACAAGTTTTGCCCGTCAGCAGCTAGGGGTGCAGGGCCCCAGGACCGCCCTGCACCGATCTCCTCGACAGCGGGCAGGTGTCTCAGCAGGGGCCACCATCCCAGCAGCTGTCACCCCGCTGCGCCTGAACACACACGGTGTCACCCATGGCACCGGTTTTCTTGTCTGCAGCTTGAGGTGCAGTCCCTCCAAACCCCTGCACTGATCTTCTTGAAACTTGGCAGGTTTCACGCTCTCAGCAGAGGCTACCATCCCTGCAAGTTTCATTCAAATTGGACAGAAAACAACAAAGTTATAGATATGTCATTGATTCCCCATTATACCCTATGGCCGGATCTCCGAGGCGGCTCCGAAGTTCTGGCCGGATGGAGGCAGAAACCCGGTCCGGAGCTCCAGGTTGGATCGCGGCCATCCGAAGAGGCCGGATCCGAAGCCGGATCAGATCGCTGCCGACTTGCACAGGCCTACTGAACATCTGCAGCTCTCTCTTTCTTGAAACCCATGGACACACTACAAACTGCCTGCCTCCAGAGGGAAGCTCTATCAACCTCTGGACGGTGCTTGAGAGTAAGCTACTTGAAGCCTTTCTAGATATATAGCTTGCAGTAACACAGATGCGTGATCAAAGGCTACCCAGCCTTGCTGTTTGCTCTAAGGTTATTCTGTAATACTTCTCTATCCTGCCCCCTTCCCCAAACCTTCCCGCTGTAACCAATGAAGTTCTTCATTGTACCGAGTGTGGTGGACGTGTTGGGAGAGGCATGCCTTTGTGCCCCCTTGGTCCGGCTAACTAAGGGAAGCTACTTTTTGTGCTTCAGGCTAAAGGAAGCACCCCAAGCTTTTGCAGAGGGTCAAGCATCCTTAAGGACTGTGTACCGCATGGGGGCACAGGGTCCAGAACCAGTCCAGACCTCTGGGTGGTGGCAGCGGTACCCCCAGGCTTGCGGGTGTGCTCCAGGAATGGGGTCAGCCAGACATGAGGTGCCCCCAGGGAGGCATTTGGAGTGAGGCAGGTGGACGGGTGCAATGAGGTGGGTGGCTCAGCACAGGAGCACCCCCTACTGGCCCACCACCCAGCTCACACAAACACGAGCAGATGCATCAGAGCACAGCTAAGGGAGCAGAGAGAAAACCATTCCCCCTAACATAGCAATGCGGCTGTCAGATACTGGGGAGGAAGTCAATTTGTAAGAGTCTGAAATCTGGTGAACTTCAAAAGAGACTTCAGGTTTTGTGCAGGCATTTTCAGGGAGAGGGACCCGACAGGGAAAGGATCTAGAGGAAAAGAGATGGTGGCCTGTTAGTGTCAAGCAGAAAAAAAACCCCCAAAACAATATGTAGTTTGAAGTTGGTCACATGCCAGAATCCAAAGCCAACATGGATGCAAACAGGTGAAAAAACAACACTTCATTTCTGCTGCCAAAGCATGAACTTTGATCTGTGAAATTATTTTTTGTCCAAGTGGGGTGGAGAAAATATGAGAAATACCCTGTTCTCTTCTAGCGGTGAGGACCTCCTCTGTGGACCTGGAGCATTAGGCAGTCCAGAACTAATGAGAATAAGCAGTTCCTTATTTTGTCACCCTCTCTGAAGGCCAGATGGCAATGGGCTGATAAAACGTGGCTTAATGAAATAACGGAGCAGAAAGCTGAGCCCCAGAGACAAAAAGCAGTCCAATTCCACCTTCAAGGGGCATCCCACTGGACACGCCTACAGATCCTGATTTCAACTGCCCTGAGATTAGTCTGGAGTAATCTTCCAGTATATGAACTAAGTATCTACTCTAAAATCAATCCCTGTGTCACCCAGGTCAGGGACTGCCCGTTTAAATATACGACAACTACCACCAGGTCCTGTAGATCTGAACATTTAATCACCCTTGCAGATGGCCAGACTTTAGAAAAACACAAAAATAACCATGAAAGAGTGAGCGACTTCATTTCCTTTACAATTTTGTGGTTCAAAGACACAAAGCAAAAGGGCACAGTACCTCTGAGAGTTGAGGAAGGTGTTCGCCCTTCATTTCCAAGATTAAGCATTTCTCTTCTTCTACCTCAAGTGCAGAGGGCCTGCAGGATGCGGCAGGGGCCAGGCCTGACCCAACTGACACCTCCGCCAAGACACCAATCTCAGCACTTCTCTGCTAAAGGAAAGGAACCTTAATAGCACGGCACATATTTTGTTAGGGAACATCATTGCCTGTCTTGTTTTCTGCAACTGCACTCAATTACATGCAATGCTCCATGTATTACAGGTTTACAAAGCAGCTTCTGAGGACAAGAAAACACAGAGTGGGCTGCAAAACAGAACACAAAGTGAACTGAACCAGCACACTGCGAAGCCCTATGTCTAAAGGGTCTTTCTATTCCAGTATTTCCCATTCAAATGACCACATTCCTACACAGGCCACATACCACAAGTATAACCATCAGTGACACACTCAGGTGAGGAAGGGCACAATTTATGGTTGAAAAAACCATTGAGCTCTGAGATACACGTTTATCCAAAGAGAAGACATGCAGGGATTTCAAGCTTACCCCTCTGGCTGTCTGTCCAACTGTCATGTCAGGTTCTGGAGAGGTGCTGCGTGGGAGAGAGAAATGGGGTATGTTTCAAACCACACACACTGATTTTCGACAAAACAGCTTTGCGGTCAGAGGCTTGAGGGGGGCTGGGAGCGGCTTCTACAGGGGTGAACTCAGCTATGACCTCAGCAGAGGGCAAGATGACAAGAGATAAATATTGAGCATCTTACAGTGCCTAAAACTTGCAGGAGCCATTTGGAAAGAAGGAAAAATGGCAACTAGAAGGCAAACTGAAACCATGGCCAGAAGTGACGGCTGTGTCTAAGACACTTGATGTAGTGAGATACAACTTGACCTCAAGGCTAATCTTAAAAGTCCTTCCTTATGTGCAAGATCCCAGCCTCTTTTCTTTCAATAAATCCCAAGCACGCCAAGTTTGTGTTGCTTGGGTTAGGGGTCCAAAGAGTGCACCGGTCAGGGTGCATCCTGAAGAGGTAGGCTCCTAATCCACTCATTGTTCACTTATGTTCATATTCTAGTCCCAGGTCTGCTGTAGTCAGACACTGCTTCAAATCACGGCAGCTGGGGTGGAACCGTGCTTTAGATACCCAAAATTTCAAACGAACACATTAAAAATGCCTCACTGCTGCAGGAGAGAGACTTCCTTTACAACACGATCTTTCTGTTTGCAAAGAGTCTCAACCAATACCTGTGAGGGGTACAAGCTGTCCCACTTCTCCCAGAGGGAAGGGAGCACTGCAACCCAAAAGCACTTGGAGTCCTGAGCAGCTAGCTACGTCACCGTCTGCTGTACCAAAGGTTCAGCTAACGAGGAGACTGTCAGCGGGATAGTAAATGCTGCAGGTAGAGCAGAAACCGAAGGTTTAACAATGTCCTTCCCTCCATTGCTAACAACTGTGCGCATGGGAGAAAGAGAAGAGATATTCCTTTCCCGCAGCTAAAGAGCCCTGACTGCCATGAGTACTGAAAAGACAGGCTCTCTTCTACACCATCGACATCTGTAACTACCTCTAGTCTGAGGCCAAAACATCCAACATTTGGTGCCTCTGAAGAAAGAGAAGACAACACTCTTGTCAGGACAAAAGCCTAACCAAGCATATTCCTAGGACAAGGAGCCTGAAAGGGCAGCCGGTCCTTCCTGCTCATTACGATGCATGAAGGAGAGGAAAATGATGCACATGGAGCAAAACCTCTAGCTATAACCCTGAAGGATGCAGTGTTCAGGTTGCAGGGAGTTTTGCTACCTTGTTCTGTTTTCCTCTCGCTGCAACAGAAATAATAAAGCACACCAGCTACTCCCTTGTGAAACCTTCCCTTTTTCAAGCTGCTCCAGGGGCACATGTCCACTCCCTCAGGAGGATGCTCTACAGCACCATGATTTCTGTCTTCTCCTAGGCAGATGCTGGGAGCCAGGCGCACACACACAAACACAAGAGATCTCCTACCTGCTCTCACCCTTTCCTCCAGATCTGAGTGGGATCTCAGTTTCAGGACTTCTGCTACCTGCATGGAAGGATGAGAAACACAAATTGGAAACAAATCAACTTTCAGATTGGTACCAGTGCAGGAAAGGCTCGTTCATAGGGTCGACCATGAATAAGACCCAATGGTAGTTGCGGTGGATGCCCATCGCTTGCACAGGAAATGGTTGCTGCTCTGGCCAAATGTTGCACCAGCGTGGTTTTATGACAGGTCTTGCTCCACAGCAAATTCAGACGTTCTCCCCATAGGGTAAAGCTGGTGAAGTCTATGGTGCTTCATTGTGTTCCAAAGGACCTTCCCGTTGAGGCTCTTAACCAGTTTCACACACTTTGCACAATCTCACAACTACCTCTGGCAGGAGGGGAACAAAGGGCACTCACTGCAGCTCTCTTAAACAGCCAAACTAGGGTGCATGGCTGGAGGGGACTGCAGTAGATGTACCTGGACAGCTGGAGAGGAAATCTAGATTGTTTCAAAAATGCATTTTTCTTTGGCTCATTCTCCCATGAGAAAAATGCCTTAAGTTAGGCATCAGGTTCTCAGCTTGCTAGAGAGGCGGCTATGCAGGAAAATTACTGAATAGGACAAAGAGGCTAACATCCCATTAGCCACAGAAGGTGTAATCAGCATACTGGTTTTGTTCATACTGTAACCACGATGGTCCAAGAAATATGCACGAGGCAAGGGTTTTTGCACTGCATTCAGAAGCTTATCTATTTGTATCCTAACCATGTTTGTTTGTCCAATAAAATGTATCGCCCACAAAAATCATTATTTGTTTTTCACAATTCTCCCACCATGAAGTATTCACAAGTGGGATATACAATAGGACTCTTCATGGTTACTGTATCTCACACTTACATTTACACATTAATTCAATTTAATGTGTAGCTAAGGGGTAAAAGCTGGTATATCAAGCAGCTTCTTTTAAAAAAAAAGGTAGTGTTATTTTTATTTTTCTTGGCTTCTGCATAGAAACCATTCCCCACCCCCACCCCCAGTCAAAAATTAAGTTATTTTTTCTCTATTCTTCCTCTCTCCGTGCTGTAGCGTTCAGTGCAGGCTAGCACTTTGAAAATTCCTCCTATACCTTAGTTAAGAGATTGCTGGTCTATCTGTATGGATACACCTGCACACGTGTGCACACGCGCATGCGCACACA